CCGGCTCTTGGAGTCATTTAAGCGTCTAAGTTAAATGTGCTGGAGCAACAATATGGTGTAGTGTTTTAGTTTTTAGTCAAAATCCCTCAGCATAGCTAGCTAGGCGGACATTACCATAATTACATTAATTATTCACTAGCAAAAGTTGTGACCTAATTCAGAGGTCGCGAGTCCCGTTCTTTCGGACAGCAATGAACAAGAAACTAGAACTAAAAGAAAGTTCATCTTCGTGTCAGTGTCATATACACTTAAAAAGTAAGGGCGGTTGCATAGAAAATGACCTACGAATTGTGTGAGCCATATCATTCATTTTGAATTCATTACCCTTGAATTAGAAGATCGATCAAATAATACATCTGAACTGTAAAGAAAGTGAGTAAACGTTTGTCTGTTTTATGTTAGTTTTCGTTCTTCTTTTCGTATTTTCAGACCATATGAGTTGCCACGCGACGATACAGAGGCTTATGACGTAAGTAATTTATTTTTTCATCTGTTTTGTCATCCAGTCAAATAATTATTATAAAAGGAAATTTAGGTTCGAGTTATAATACGTTTGGTGTATTGTATTGCCATTGGGAACTGTTGTAAATAATAGTAACAAGTTACCTAGCGTCAAAAACATGTCAGAAAATAATTGACAGGCATGCAATATTCTTCATTTTGTCCTTGGCTTCGAGTTATATTAGAACAATGATTGATGATACTGTTTTACTACTTTCAGAATGAGATAGCAATGGATGAGGTCCAACCATCTCATTCTCGTCAAAGCAAGACTGAATACATGGACCTAAAAGAGGTAACTGCATTTGAAAGCAGGCGCAAAGAGGAAGCGACACTCGGTATACCGCAGGTGGAACGTTCATCCCTAGGAACTGATTACGCGCCTCTTCATCCGTCAACACGCTCTTGGGAAATTCCACGAAGTAGTGTCACCATAGAAAAGGTTATCGGTAAAGGTGCCTTTGGTCAGGTTGCCAAAGGAACCGCGATAGATGTTCGGGGGAGGCCAGGGAACACTCCAGTTGCTGTTAAAATGCTTAAAGGTAATCCACACCCCTCTTTTGGAGCTGAATAAGATTAATGCTAATAATGAATGTGTGTTTTTATTGACGATTCATGAGTAGTTAAACATTCTAACATTTTAAAATAAGTCATTAATCATTAGTGAGAGACAATAAGTGACAAAGAAAAATTATAAAAGTTGGAACATTATTCAAAAAACTTATGAATATGAAGCAGTGGTCATCTCAATGAATAACAACGCTTGTATCACTTATATTTTTGCCTTTATTTTTAGCTTCTGCTCGTGAGTCCGACAGAAGCGATCTGTTATCTGAACTCGAATTAATGAAGACGCTGAAACCTCATCCACACGTCATACGACTACTGGGATGTGTTACTGAAACTGGTAAAACATATGATTAATGATGAACGTACTTTAACGTACATCTCAAGACATCTCAAGTTAACAGTTAATGTAAAACTATTTCAACAATAAGTCTCAGTTTCTAAATTATTGCTGGTATTACTGAAAACCCCGTATAGTGTAAAAGTTACTTGACTTATTTTCTAGAGCCCTTATTGGTTTTGATCGAGTATGTCCCGTATGGAGATCTCTTGGGTTACCTGAGAAAGAGCCGAGGACTCAATGACACTTATTTCAAAGACCCGGATATCAAGCCTCGAACAAATCTGACGTCAGAGCAACTGATGAAGTTTGCCTGGCAAATTGCTGATGGAATGAGTTACTTGTCATCAAGATCTGTAAGTCAAATGATCTGAGTGCGATTAGATATGAGTTGTGAAAGACTAGGAAATACTATGAAAAACGTCATCGACATTGAGTTATTAAGATTCCTGTACAGGATAAGCAGAAAGCCATGCCAACTATACTAATTGAAACATATGCACGTGTATTGATTAATAAATGAATTAATTAATTACTGAGGAATTAATATGGCAGTGGTCCAGAAGATGGGTCGAAATGGGTGAATTTAGCCCTGAATTCAATTAGATCCATTTTAATGTTTGGTTAACTATTTCTTACAGATCATTCACCGAGATCTTGCAGCTCGTAACGTGTTGGTTGGGGAAAGAGAAACGTGTAAAATAACTGACTTTGGAATGGCCAGGAATGTCCAACAGGAGAACATTTATGAAAGAAAGACAAGGGTATCTGAGTTAGGAAGTAATAAGAATAATTAATTATAAGATAAAGGGAATCTAAAAACAAGGATTTACATTCTATTATACATCTTCAATGTCTCACATTAAGGCAGCCACACGGATTTCGGCATTTCGAACTACCCTTGCATTCTAAAACCTACTTGTTTTGCCTAATAATCAGTACTGTAACCATTCTTTTTAACACATTTCCTACGAAAGTAGGTTGCCTTCTAGATAAGGCTCCTCAAACTTTTAAATCTTAATCTAAAAAATAATTTTAAAGATGTCTTTTTTACTCGTTCTGCGTCTCATCGTTTACCACCAGGGACGTCTGCCAGTCAAGTGGACTGCATATGAAGCGTTGATGTTTAACACTTATACCACCAAAAGTGACGTGTGAGTAAATATAATAGAAATTGTGTGGAAATACAGTTTATGATGTTGAATATTATTTAGTAGTTGTTGCTTTGCTTATTTTACAAATCAACGCTTCCGCTTATTTGCAGTTGGAGCTATGGCGTTGTTCTTTATGAGATTTTCACTGTAGGTAAGTTGTTGTTTTTTTCTTAATTAACGATAATGGCCTTCGTCGTGCAAGCTTCTTTTGTAATAGGTTCTGGAGACGTAGTTTGTTTGAATTCCTGTACTTTCAGGTGGTTCTCCATATCCGCGAATGGATGGCAAGAAAATTGCTAGTCTACTTCAACAAGAATACAGGATGCCAAAGCCACAGCACGTGGATGACAAATTGTAATAGTATCTATTTTACTTAATCACAGTTTGAAATTGTATCCTATTTGTAGTTGTATTTGTTTTTTTTCGTACAAACAGTAGTAAGAATAGATATTACCAGAGGTGATTATCAGTTATGAGATTAAAAGAATCTTTGACCTCTTAAGACAGAAAATTTGGGAGAAAAGACAAATCGAGATGAGACGATTTTATTTTCTGTTCTCAGGTATCAAATCATGATGAACTGTTGGCAAAATGAGCCAGAAGCGAGACCATCATTCACCGCTTTGACCAAACAGTTGAGGGACATGGAAAACCAGCATAAGGTGGGTTTGTTGGTACCTTGTGACATTAAAAGTTTTTCAGCGACATCAGTAATGACAACAATCTTTCGGCTATAAGGCTTACCATTTCCTCAAACGTACACTATAACTAGGGTAGAGTTTTCTTGGTCAAGCTGTCTGCTACTAGGGTGGCTTATTCTACATAAGGAGTCTTATTGTTTTCTTCGATTTCTCATTTACAGTCTATATATGTCCTGGTTAAATTTATTCTTGTTTTAAATTTCATGTCCCTTTGTGTTTGGGTATACGAATGTATGGTTATGAGATCAAAACAAAAGGAAATAAAACTTACTTAAGCCAAGGATAAAATTGAACCACAACAAATACATCATTCATATTAACCCAGCAACGTACCTTTTTTAATGCTTTCCAAAACTATGACCTTATCGGCGTACTTTCAGAAACGTTTTCCATTATATATATTCTTGGATCTCGTTTATCTTTTCCCATGCCTTCGGCCATTTCCCCGAAAACAAGGAGCAGGGAAAATAGTCACCTGTTTTGGTTAACAGGGTACATGGTAGAAAATTTAATTGAATATTATTTTATCCACAGAAACTGATCAACATGCACATTTATGACAATCAGTTGTACGCAAAAGTTGAGGACTTGAACGTCTGAATTCGTTACCGTATATGCGGTATATAAATATTGTCAGTTAATTTCAATTTACGCCTATAATCGTTCACTTTTTCCGAGCAAGTGGAAGAATAATTCGGATGTTTTCTGCTTATACGGATTGGCATATGTATTGTCTGGTTGTATTTTTAAGTCTTTCTTTCTCTAAGGTTTTATTGTAAACCTCTCACGATTTTTGGTAAATTAATACTCTCACCAGTGTTACGGATATTTCCCATTGCTGTACAAGGAGTGGGGTAGCTTACGTAGTAAAACAGTTACTAGAGGATGTTTCTGGTTACAGAGTGCTTAAAAAAATTGGGGAAATTTGAATAGCCTGAAATAAGCTCTTAATGACCTTATGAGATCACAGGCAGCCCAAGCTCACGTCACGTGAAAGGATTAGATTAATTATTAGCGGTGTGCGAGCCGGGACGTGACTGTTCAACGAAAGCGGTATTGGGTTACATGGCGGTCGTGAATTTATAAAGGATTTGTATGGTAATCCACGTTATAGATTTAGGAAGATAAATACTCGTAGAAATTCTCAATAAAAAACGTCTTACCTTATTTACATGGTGTGTTCTTGCTTGCTGTGTGGTTCTTATCCTGGGTCCCCTCGGGTCGAATAGACAATACCGCATTGTCTCAATCGACCAATCAAAATCGCGCCGATTCGACCCGAGGGGACCCAGGATAAGAACAGAAATTCATGTTGACAATTTGCGTTAGTGTACCCCGTGAGTCTTTGTTTGTCAACGTGACGAGGTTACCAAGCCGACTTCAACGGTCGTTGTGTCGTGGTGGATTTGTACGCGGCTCTGGCCCAACGTTTTACTGTTTCATCGGGGAAACAAACTGCCGCCTGGCGTCGCTCGCAGGGATGCGATTGCGTGGCTAGAAAGTTGAAATGAAAGTTTAACCTTTGTAGTTGGATTCTGCGGTGGAATTTTGGCCGTGGGGATATTTTAACCTGGAATTTTTGGCTTCGTTCGGCGGGCTGTCCAGATTGGAAGTGTTCGGCCTTGCTCTCTCTTTAGTAGTGGAAACTCAGAAATGAAAAAAATCGCTAAAATCGCACCGGATCGGGAAAATAACCACACAGCAAGCAAGAACACACCATGTAAATAAGGTAAGACG